TGGTGTGGTCGGGTCAGAGCCATCGCACACTAAGCAAAGCTTCGCTCGAGTGGGGCCGGGCCAGATCACGTCAACTACCATTAAGGTGCGTAGTAAGCCTTGTTACACATATGGATGACTGGACCGCATGATTGCTTTGAATCATGATGGGACTGGCTGAGCGGAGATGTCAGAAAAGAACTGTTCCCTGACACTCAACTGTGGACAGCTTCCTGTGTAGCATTTAATTTCAGCCACCACGAGCCCCAGCTTCTATTTATTCAAATCAGATTTGTCGACACAAATCATTGGCTGCCCTATCACGGACCACTTATTATTGCTATTCCCGCCACGCCCAGACTAGCCGGCGTGTAGATACCCCGTGATAGACTCTCATCCAGCTGCCGCCTTCCGCTCTCGGTCGCCATAGATTCACCTTGTACACCTTGTACACCTTGCCGGAGTAGTAGAACATAATTAATGTCCTTGCTGAGTCTATGACTATGAGGGACAGCTAAGAATTTATTAATAGATTTAAGGCTAATAGCAAATTCGTCTTGGTAAACACGAGGTCGATGAGTAAATTAAAGTAACTGGTATCTCGAATTACATATATTGTTGCCTCTTTTCTTCTCTCTTCCTTTTCTCCAAACGCCTCGCTAATGATCCAAGTCAGATCCCTGTCAGAGTCTCAACGACATCATTAACACCGCAATTATATAGAACAATTTAAAACGCCCGAATATGATCCGCTTACCAACAATTTGGGTGTTGATATGCTTCCTAATTGCCAACAGATGATGAGGGCAATGTACTTGTGTGAGTAGTAAAATGTGAAGTTTTATATCACAAATAGCTGATGGAGTGCATTGTAGTTCCTGGCGACAGCTCCAGTGTGGTAGCGGTGAAGCAGATGCGTAGAATCTCTTCAGGAGAGCTATCATATGATGAATCATGGCCTTTCATACTCTCTTTAACTTTGACACACTTTGCCCTTTGTCGCTGAATCATGTTTCCTTCCGCACACTGTGGATATCTACGCCCGTGACCCACTTGTGACTATATTCTAACTATAAATGTCTTACACAAGTGCGTCTCACTTCCCGTCCGCTCCATCAACCTAACGAGGATTCGCGATCTAGCCATTAGACATTCGTCAACTTGCAACAATCAAGCATCATTTTCGTTTAGAGTGATGCTAAGATTAGGTTAGTTGATTGTAAATAAATGTGCTAGGTAAAGTGACATTCTCCACGCTCCTTTTGGAGCTTGAGCACGAGTGGTGCTGGGCTGGATCAGGTTAACTACCATTAGCAATATCATCAGCTTCTTTTTCATTGTTTTATTTCATTTAACGTGTGTTCAGCTATCTTATTATAGCACATAATTAGTGTCTTGTATATATGTTGGATGTCTCTCTAAATATTATACACTCATACTCGTGACTTCATTCGCAATTACCACTTCGAGGTATGTTTACTTGGACAAACAGTCGACCCTCCTCCGCGATTACCCAGAAAAAGAAACCTTCAAATCCTTCTATCATGCAATAATAATAGCACGGCGAGATGTATGATTTAGTCTTGCCAGACTCCAGCCAGCCATATCCCGCCTCAAGTGGTATAGTTTTCCAAACTATCCAGAATCTACTCAATAGACTGGGCTAGATGATGTATCACAGCACTTGCAAGCCACGACGGTGTTAACAATGTCGCCTGCACTCTCGTAATTCAAGTCTTGGCGCACACAAGGCTCTTCCATATGTGGAGCTCTATTCCAAAATTCAATAACTCACTCCTTCCGATATTGGATCCACTGTTTGCATCATCTTGTCCACTTGTACAGATCTCTCTCACGTTTATCCCAAAGACCTAACTAACAGACTTTTGCACCACAATTTATCACCTCTGGCAGGTATCTGGAGGATATTTGATGCCGGAAACTGATTTGACAAGTGGTGTGGTCAATAAAATAAGAATGTACAAAGTGGTACATGCAGACTTGACGATGCTTTGGTGGGAATCAATCTTGTTGGAAGAGAGGAATTGATTTGGCTTGGAGCACTGAGTCATTGCCTCGTAGACCAACTTCTTTGGTAGTGCGAAATTTGGCTAAACTTGGTTTCGAGAGAATATTCCAATCCCAGATTCGAAGAGGATACCACGGACAGGTGTCAGTCTTTGACCTCATTCTCCTCGGTCTAAGATACATTAAAGAACATCCATCCAATGCCTACGATGACGAAAATGACGAAAATGACGCTGGCCAAGAGGAGGAATAATGTGGTGCTAGTCTCTGCTCCACAGTTATCGCGCTCGGCCGGGAATTTTGAATATGCAATCGCGAACTTCCGGTTACCCTGCGATACGGAACGAGGGGTGGTATGTGTAGAAAACCGAGAGAGGAATGTACAAAAGGCTCTCTTCGTATTCACAGAACTATCGTTCCCAACCGAACAGCTTATCCGAACGCGTCAGGAGGGTAGCTAGGTCTAATCCTAACGTCGACAGATGTGAAGTCCTACACCGTGGTTTTGGAGCTTTTTTTATTTTCTACGCTGTTGAGTCCTTGACAAAATGTGTACGGCTCCTTTTTTTATTGGGAATTGGATTCTTTCCATGCGTGATTTTCGAGGATCTTTCGAACAGCCGTCGACCCACAAGTCGTCATTGACTGACATGCTGGGGGGATTGCGATAGGATAAAGGATCCACCTGGTGTGGGTTAGAATGAAGATCTATGGGGACATGACCGCGAGACAAGGGATATAGAGGAGTTTTTCAGGAGGTTTTGCTACCCGGGATCCATGTACTCTCGGTACTACGGCGAGTAGACGACGAGGAAGCTGTCTTCGGAGCAAGGGTGGACCATGGTTTAGGGGCTAAATTTAGATGAAGCAAGACGTAAGGCTGAAGGAAAATAAAAATAGCCGGTAGATCAATAATGCAGGCTGCAAGGCTGGTCAGTAACTGAGTTAACCCAAATTTCGCACTACCAAAGAAATTGGTCCACGAGGCAATGACTCAGTGCTCCAAGCCAAATCAATCCCTCCCTTCCAAAGAGATGTGTGAAATTGGACAAGATGATACAAATAGTAGATCCAATCTCGGAAGGAGTGAGTTGTCGAATTTTGGCATAGAGCTCCATTTATGGAAGAGCCTTGTGCGCGCCAAGACTTGGACTGCGAAAGTGCGGTGATACATCATCTAGCCCAGTCTATTGAGTAAATTCTGGATAGGTTGGAAAACGATACCATTTGAGGCGGGAGATGGTCGACTGTTTGTCTAATGAAACATACCTCGAAGTGGCAATTGCGAACGAAGTCCCGAGTATGAGTGTCTCTGAAGTTGAGAGAGTTATCTTACATGTACACAAAGAACTGGCCATGGATCGTCGCTAGATATCCAATTATCAACATTGTGAAGCAAGAAATCGGCTCACTTCAGACAGCTGTTATGCAGTCCCACAACTTTAGAGCCGCAGGGAGAAAGGATCCACCTGTCCCCACGCACCTTCATGGACCCAATGGAAGCATAGTATCAAAAATCTAGAGTATGCGCGTTAGTATGTATGTCTGGTGTTTATTGTACTGCCTAAGTCAATGACGATCTAACACACTGGACTCCTCTCTAACCCAGACCATACCCTCTTTGCTTACTTCAAAGATCATTGATATATAACCCGTGATGAACAGCGATTCAACTCAGTATTTAACCGTGTCATTCAGCTACCTCTTCCATGGAGCCTTGTACCCAAACAAATCGTCGCAACAGAAATTACGTTCGCTGTAAAAAATTTCAAAAAAAATGCATCCCCAGCCACACCAAGTGCATATACCCATCTATATATCCCTTCCTTGTAACACTAGAGGCCAACTTAATCCAGTCTCTCCACCATGGCTAAGTGCGGGTGATGAGTAGGGCTCAGATCTTACCATCTGGTCTGATTGAGGTTAACTTAAATATAATGCTGATAGAGGGAGTTGTTTAGAAATGAAGACGATACAGAAAGCGAAATCGTATGGGAATCCATATTAAAGTGAGGAAGGAGGTGCTATTCGATTTTGGCTCTGCAGACTCTACAGTCAGAGCTGGAGGTTCTTAGGGAACGTCACTGACAACGGGTGTTTGTCCCTCAGAAATCCCGAGCATAATCAGCATACTACAATAATCAAACTACGAATCTTTTGGAAGCCCTTTATGGCAAATCTCCATATGTTATCGTGGCTAATTTTGTAGTACGGTCTTCATGAAATTTTAATATACAATGAGAGTAATTGCACAAGCTGTCATAAGTTGATATTGAGGTGTTTCCAGCATATCAAGAGTTATTTAAATTTTACATCAGACTCAGATGATATGTCGTAGCTATATAGATGAAAAACAATAGAAATTAGAGGGTATTTGGGTTGCTGCTTACGCTTCAATACTTGGAACTGAATTGTTAACTAGTAGTGTATTATTGTATTCTTCTCCAAGGTAATGATCATTGGTGCAAACTGGAACACGTCATACTGGCGTGAATTTAATGGCAACGAGGCACAAGTTGATATGTCCAGGCTCATAAGCCAATGTCAAGTTCACAAAATATTGCATCAATCCATCATACAGCCAATTAACTGCCTCGTAAAAATTATTTTAACCCCCTTCGCTCACCCAGATAGTCACTAGAGGTTGAATACTTTTTAATTTAAATCTGCAGCTGTAGCCACATTGTATTGATCAATGGCCTGAGCAATATCAATTTTTAAAAATATAGAACAGGAAATTAAAAAAAGGCACGACAACAAGGCCACAAGCTCACTTGAGCAGCCAGCCCAAGTCATAACTCATATTTCACTTCCCAAACTCATAAGACGTCTTTCAGTTGTAAGAGTGTTGAGAAAAAAACTGCGCGGCAGAAACATCCAAGGACTATCTACTCGTTGTCGAAACAATATTGATAACCTTTCGTGCCTTTTATCGGACCACCCAAATTTACGCCAATTTTTACAGCCCAAGTAGAATGATTCTCTTCATTCGGTTATATAACCAACCCAAACACTAGTGCACCAACCACACCGATCATTGACCCAGAAACTAAAGCAGCGGCATTTTGGGTCTCTGTTCCCAAATTTCCAGTCTTTGTAGCAGATGGCGTGCCAATGTCAATAACTGAGTTATTGGGCTTGAATCCAGCCCCTCCGGTTGGTTGTGCTCCGGAGGTTCCAGTTGGTTTTAGTCCAGAAATCCCAGTCGGCCTTCCTCCAGAACCTTTGTCTGGTGTTAATCCTGAGCTGGGAGAGCTTCGAGTACTGTTTCCGGTAGAAGGTGAGATTACTGTCCCGTTTGTCAAATCAGAGCCAGTAGAATTTGGCGAAGAGGCGCTAGTAGCGCCAGAATCAAGATCAGAAGTTTGTTTTGAACACGATAAGTCAAAGTTGGGCGTATCACCTTTGACGACACCAAATTGTTCGCCAGGTGATGTGCTACCATCAGTGTCATCAAGGGTATACCACCAAGTGTTTACAGTGCCAAAGTTTGGACATCCAACTTGATCCCAATAGCTCTTGGCATTTGTGGATCCCGTTTCGGCAGCGCCCGATTTCGGACCACCAACGGGCCAACCTGTCTCAGTAATCCAAAGTGGCTTGCCTTTAGCAGCATTTCTGGTAGCGTCCATTGCTTTGTTAAACAGAGTAGCTCCATTCTCAACGCCATTAGCTTGGGTGCTTTCAAAATATGGGTACCTCGAGAACGTTAGCAGTGCGTTTAAGTAGAAGCTTGTCTCCTTACGCATCCACGCCAATCCAATCACTTGCGTCAACAACTTCTTGATTAGAGCCATTAACCCAAGCTGTCCATGTGTCGACATGTCCTATTGGTGTTCCACTGAGGGCTGTTCCCGCAAGAGCTGATCGAACCTGGCTCATGTAATTGGCAATTGCTGAGGGCTCGGCACCAACGTTTGATTTTGATTCAACACCTTGAGGGGATATACGATACAGATCTTCACTGCCTACAGAAATACCTGCCACCAACTTGGTAAAGGAGGTACCGTATTGAGCAATAGCAGACTTCAGAGCAGTTATCTCATTGTTCATTGTCTCGGGGCCGGCAGAGGCCCAGAGCCCCAAAAGGAGGGAAGTGTTTTCAGAAATTGCAGCCGGAATAGCAGACGTAGGTTCATTGGTAGTACCACCTTGCTTAGGAGCGTCAAAAATAAATTCGGAAAAGATTATAAAAGCATCAAGCATACCACAGTTGTATAAAGACGAGCACTAGTGAAGCCTGATGTGCCAGGAAGGTTTCTGGCTCTGTGGAAGAGTGTCTGAAAGTCGGATTGGGCACGAACAGTATATCCATCGCTCTTGGTTGCACCATAATTGAAGCCTTGAAATACGGCATTGGAAGAGGCAAGTGATGCCAGCATGGCAACTAGTATCGAATGACGCATTTTGTTGAATTTTCAACGTGAAATAATTACAGTATGAAAGTTATTCCCGCAGCTGTACGCTTCGCAGAAAAAGTATAAGTCGAGGGACAGGCCAGGAGGAACGAGTGAAAAGTAAAGAGGTACTGAGCGAGAGAGAGATAAAAGTAGGAGGATAAATGAGAGAAACAAGACCGGCAACCTCGATGCAGTACAAGTTTAGACGTGGGATGTCAGAGAGGCGGAATCAATGGGAGAGGGAAGTATATACATGGTAAATTTAGGGTAGGAGATAGACGCGGAAGGTGCATTATGAGTCGTGCAACAACAATTATGACTCCTGGTCCCTCTAGACTTACTCCCTCGCACCCTAGCAAGCATCGTCACTTCTCCCACTCAGTTGAATGAGAACTGCGGCTACCCTAGCACATGCATGGATTATCTTATTTTGTGGGTGAGGGGGGACACTAAGGCTGTTTGACTGAGCTGTCCGTACAACTGAATGACTGGTGCGTATAGTTATTGGCACTTCAAGTTGAGCTCGGGTGGATTCTTTCTTTTTTGGTACCACGGAATCATCGGGTGACAAATGGGATGTGCTACGGGTGTCATGAGCATACGTCGTAGTGACCTTGTAATTGCTCTCTGCGACTAAGCATCACCTACTTCTCATGTGCTGAAACAAATCCAGGAGAGACCGGAAGAGGCCCAGCGCTCGACTCACCGGATGAAAGTATTAGTGTCCAAAGCAGCAGCTCAGCTGGCTCGAGCCATTCAGGGCACACAGAGCCTACGTACATGCTAGCCTAGCAACTTTAAGCCCGGGGCAGGCCGCTCTGCTCCAGTTTGTTTGGGTGCGTAGTTGTAGAGTGTGGTAGAGGGCCATGGCCACGCGATGGGATATCGAAAATGTCCGTGCAGACGGCGTAAAAGCTAGGGCATTTAACAAATTGCCGACCCCTTTGCTCCTTAACAAAGATGAAGGGTTGAGGCTGTCTTGCATGGCTCTAGGCGCGGGCACAGACATGCGCGCACGCACACGCAGAGGCATTGACATGGGCGTCGGAACCACGGCTGCCCTAAGTTGGGACTAGCTAATCTTCACGGGTCCAGCCCTCTGCGCCTTAGCCACGTTGCGAGCGGTCGATTTGTGTAGCATTTTTCAAAGTGTGGTTGATGGTACACAAGCATGAAAAGAATACAAGTTTTTCTCTCATCAGAACAGTTCCTATGAGCTGCTATTGCTCTCATGAAGGTGGGTTAGCCCTTGTCCACAAGGAACTTGCTTATTAAGCCATATCACATGCTCTCATGGCTCCCAGTGTTATGGGTGTGTTCGCGCTAGGCGAATCCAGGAAAATTGTGAGCAACACCAAATGCGCCAACGGACCAGGCTCTCCAAAAGGGCAGCTTTGTTTGAGTCGTCGCATCTAGAAAGGATGGAATTGAGTTTCGCATTGGTTTGCCCACATGTGCATCAATCCCATCTACCACTTCGTTAAAATCTAGCGATGGTGGATCACAAAGATCCAGTGTAACGACGGAAATTGCAGTGTTTGTACGGTTCTATGCCCATGTGATTTACTATGACTCCGCATATTTTTGAAACCAAAACACCAGGCGAAGAGATTCATGAGTATCTGGTTTCGTAGGGCAATGGTAAACTTGGAATCTGAATTGTGCAATGTCATGTTTAATTATAGGATCCTGACTCTGTTTTGTCGAGTCACCACATGGGGAGAGCTCTCATATTTCTGGTTTGATTGTAATAGATCATACTGTGCTAATTCGTTTGCGGATGGTACTGGGCGTGGAGTATTTGTGGAGCCGTGACCACGACAGTGAATAGTAAGTATTGCAAATAGTAACCAAGCTGTCAAATAATTCCCTTCGCGGCGCGGATGACGCGTCTCGTGTTCATGTCTGATTTGTTTATGTTGCAGTGTCACGGTTTCCCGCGCGATCTACCTACGACGATTCAAGATTGGTTCCAGACCGTATTGTTAGTCACATTATTGTCCTTTCTCAATCTATGACTACATAGGACATTTAGCCCCACTCCATCTACTGGCCAAGGATGCATATCTAGCAGTACATACCCTCCTATGCCTCCTAAACAGCTCTCCTCAGCCAGTGGCACCCCTACAAAGCTTTTTTGGTCATACACTTGGGAGAGTATTTGACCTTTCAATACTTCTCCCTCCAGTTAGCCTAACGAAGGCCACTTGCTAGTCTATAGCAGTCGGTAAGATTATCAAAAACCACTGAGCGCGAGGCCCGCATACCACCGTAATCAAGACCAGGTCTAAAAGCGTGGCTACCCTTGGCAAGTGCTCGGAGAGGTCATCTAGTCTGGCACTGTAGATCTATGAATACCTAAACCAAGCTACTTCTTAATATCTAAGATCCCCTCATCTCTTCCCTTCACGTACATGTATGAGGCAAAAAAAGGTTGGAGATCGAAGAAGGATCGAGGGATAAGATGTTTCGAGGAAAATAGATATGACTTATAGAACAAATTGATATCGATATAAATCAGGTCTTTAAAGTATTATGGGGATAAAAGTTATCGACTAAGCTCCTTTTCCCGCAAGATTCACAGAGCTTGCATGCGGTTGTTCTGTTTTTTTTGCATCAGATTTTAATTGCGTATGCAGCTATCTAGCTATGACACAATATCAAAGAAAATTACAGAATAGATGATTCAACGTAAGGGAAGAGCACTCATGCCTCAGATTTCATTTACAAGTATCACTGCGAAGTTATGGTGACTTTTTCTTCACCCCAAGTCAACCCTCATCCGTGAATACCCACCCAGGGGAACGTCTCAAAAACCCTGAGTTATCCAGTCATGCCTCCATCATCTTTCAACTTTTCTCCGCGCAAAATATGGTCTGAGATATCTCCTTCCCAAGTGGAGTAGGTGCCCAGGCTACTCAAACTATACCGGAGAACATCACCAGGAGGCGGACCACAACACCTTCCATCGTCTGCTTGTTTTTATAGTGTCAGCTGCACTCTCGCAAGCGAAGCCTTGGCGCGCACAAAGCCCAATTCGTAAAACTCCTTGCCAAAGTTCGGAATTTCACTCCCGTCGAGGTTATATCCTTCCTTCGCATCATCTTGTAAACTTGTCCTGATCCCTCTCACGTCCATCCCAAAGAACTGTCTCCTAGATTTGTGCGCCACGCGATGCTTCCTCCGTCGGGTGTAAATATCGGCGTGGGCGTGTATATGGTAGTCAACTGAGATCAGAGAAGGTCGAGGGGTGGTGTGATCATTAGAATGAGGATGTACTAGGTCGTACTTGTAGACTCGATGAGACGAAGATAGGAGTCAAACTCGTTGGGAGCGAAATAACGACGTGGATGAGTAATTTGGATTTTTGCCTCGTGGGCCAACTTCTTTGATATTGCGAAATTTGACTGAACTTGGCTCTGGGAGAATATTTCAGTCCCAGGTTCGTAGAGGACACTGCGTACAGGTGTTCAGTCTTGCCCTCCTTCTGTAGAGCTCGGTTACTGGTGTGGATCCAGATACGTGTTATCATGCCAGCCACTGTATTAGGAGTTAGTGTAGTGTACAAACCATCTGACACCTGATATTGGTTGTCAGGATACGTGCCTTTTGCTGGCTAACGCTATAGCATGGCCTAGCTAACATCATCAATCCCAACAGTGCTAGTCGCTTATCTCTAATAACCAGATGTTTGCAACCTTGTGGATGCTAAAAATGGCAGGATACGTAATGTAACATAGACTACTAGATGCGGTTAGCCTACGATTAGTAAGCTACGCACAAATTGTAGATTTCGGAGTTAGGAGCCAGAGATATGTAGACAAAATTTATTAGAACTCAAGCTTAACTATTGCATTCTGCGGAACTAGCTGTAGTAGAGCCACGAGTTATATTTGTTACCATACTGTTTCAATTGTGATCGATCGAAACCCACAACCTCGTCTTCGCCGAGCTGGGAAAAGTTGAGATCACTAACAGCGGAGACATGGCTCAAAATGTGCCCACAAATTCTTACTCTACTCGTGGATTCTAGATCAGATCATTTCCTAGAAACTCTAAGATTTACAGAATAATTCAATTCCATTAAAGTCCAAATGATCCAGAGAACAAATAGGATTTGAATTCAGTGATACTCGAGAATTGATATGAAAATATCCATATGACCTCCATTCAGCCTTCCTATGGCTTTCTACCATACCCATAATTACCTTCATTATAAAGCCAGTGGAAATATCCACAATCAGCTATATTGAGGATATTTAATTGTTACAAATCATCTTAAGAAAGATACATGAGACACGTTATGACCTTTTAAACTTTGACTGGAGAGCCCTACAGCAGCGGATGGAGTTTTCATAGAATAGAATAGAATTTTATTTATGTCCCTACTGAGTCTATGACTATGAAGGATAGCTAAAATTATCTAAATAGCTTCAAAGTTAATAGTAAGTTTGTATATTGAATTAGTCTCGTTTAACGTCCTATGCGGTATCTATGTACAGAACCATGAAGACAGTAAGCCGCTTTGGTGTGGGAAAAAGCTTTCAACAAACAAAACCCGATGTCCTGCCACTCTGAACCGACCCGGCTTAATGCTGAGGACGTTCCTTTCAACCACAAATTTATAAACTTTCCCCAGAATTCGTTAACTCCCCCTTCAATCAGACTAAACTTATGAGAAATTAAAGAGAGAAGGCACCTCCTCACCCGACGTTGGTCTTCGAAGTGTTCGAAGAGTTGGCCACAATGGTGCTGCTGTCGTCGGGATGGTTAGTGCCACTGGGGCTTCGACTACCTTGCGTGGTCGACTACCTTGCGTGGTCGACCCGGCCCTCTTTTGAGTCCTTCAGCCTTCTTACTGGTGACCAAAGTGAATCCTTGATCATCAGTCGTTCCGACTGTTCGTATTGGCGCTATTGTTGGGTTTTCACTCCATATTTCCGCCCTTCTTGACAACAGCTCAATCCGAGCCTTCTCCACACTTCCCTTGTAGACCTAGTAGATCC